CTCCTCCAGGGTCGGAGGCTGCCTGCGTCTCTGGGACAGGCTGCAGAGTCAGGGTCAGGGTGTCCTCCATCTGCTCCTCCTCCTCCACATCTTCCCTGGGGACCTCCTGCCTGCTCTGCTGCACTGGTGTGTGCAACCCTGTCTGCACGAGCACTGGTGCAGACATAGGTTCCTGGCCTCCCAGGATGCGGTCCAGTTCTTGATAGTAGGTGCAGTGCACTGGGGCTGTATCTGAAGCCGAGCTCTGCTCTCGGGCCTTCATGTATCCCTGGCGAAGTTCCTTCACTTTGGCCCGGACCTGTTGGAGTGTCCTTGGGTGGTCCCCTTTATCGGCCAGCCCCTGAGCCATGCGGCCATAGATGCTGGCGTTCCTGCGCCGGGTGTGCAGGGCCTGGACTGCTTCCTCCTCCCCCCACAGTTCAAGCAGGGTCAGGACCTCTGTCCCTGACCAGGCTGGGGCTCTCTTTTTGTCGCCTGTGGGCCTCAAAGGTTCTTGGGGGCCTCGTGGCACTGGAGCTGCACACATGGCCACATGCAGGTGACGCTGGGAGAGCTCTGGGCTGACAGGCTCTCACAGTGGCCAGCTTCCTGTCACAATGCCTGCCAGGGATGTCTGTGCCTTTAAAACATGGCTACAGACAGGACCAAGAAGAGGTTTTTCCTGAAGGACTGTCCAGCAGGGGGCTTGCTTGGAGGTCTTTTTCTGTCGACAAAAGAAACCCCCGCGTCCAGACTGCCCTTTTTGTCGACAGAACTCTGTCGACAAAGACGTTATGCCTCGTAAAATGAGGTTTACCAGCGTCGACAAAACTGCTGAGCTCTGTCGACGTTATGTCGACAGAACTCAGTGGTAGTGTAGACGCTGGTATAGTTTTGTCGACAAAACCCTGTAGTCTAGACACACCCTATGAGTCTATGATGCATTTGTTACATGATATATTTGTTACATAATATCTCCTTTAAAAGTGCCCAGATATGGGCAAAGAGCATCATTTATTTTTATCTACCTAACATTTATTAATATTGAGATTTATGCATCACTAATGAGGTGGCAATCTATACTTTGATACCACCAACACTTTCCACTTCTAAGCACAATGGATCTACTTGCTTTAGGGCTCAAGACCAACCTACCACTCTCTCCTCATTCATGTTATGTTCACAGAAAAGAATCTGGTGGTTTTTAGGTATTGAGAATGTTTCACTTGCTATCTGGAATCAAGAGCTAGCAAAGGAAATGAATCCATCTGAGCTTGGGTCTAAAATCCAGATGATACTAGAAATTTTTATGTCAGATTAAAACAAAGAGATGGGATTATGATGTACTAGGAAGCATCTGCCACAATTTAAATTCTCCCAAACATTCATTATACCATTTATTTCAAATCTGTAATTAGTCTTTATTGACACCCTAGGAAATGTAAGTTTTGTTCAGTAAGATAACCAGCAAAGATTATTGTGTGTTGTTAATTAATGTTATGATAATTAAGAGAGAGCTAGATTCCCAAAGAACTTGGGTATATTTACACATACTGGGGTTCAGTGCTGCAGCAATCGACCCATCAGGTGTCGATTTAGCGGGGAATTGGGTAAATATCTTGTGGTTTGTAAATATTATATAAATTCTACTAGTGAAGAAACATTAAATCAATCACAGATCACTCTTCTGTTTACTCTGATACTCCACCAGAACAAGAAGTGTAAGGTGTAGACACCCAGCACAACGAAGACGTGACAGTAAATTAATCTAAGCTACATTGACTCTAGCTATGTGACTAACGTAGCTAGAGTTGCATAACTTTGGTCAACTTAGCCCTGTAGTGTAGACCAAGCCTTAGACACTGCAGATCTAACTCTTACATGCCTAACCACCCAGTGGAATCCACAATTCAAAGTTATGCACCTTGACTCCCATGCAACACATCTGGGGTGCAGGGGAATCCGATGCCCAAGAATGAGCTCCTCAAAAGTCAGCCAGCTGAGCAGACAGCTGGCTACACTAGCCAATATTGAACCCTACACCCTGACCTCTGAGAAAGCTCTCCTCCAATATACAGGCCTATTGCTCCATGGGATTATCAGAGGTGCATCCAGTCCGTCTCCCACTGCCCCTCTCTCCAAGAAACACAAATGGGTAGGGAGAAATGGCAGCAGCTCCATTATAATTTTCAGCCCAATCCTTAAAGAATTCATCAGTGATATGGGAGACCAGTTAGGTGAGTGACCTACCCACTGGGATAAGGGATATTCTGGTGTGGGTTTCTCTCAGGGTATGTTTACACGACACAACTTTTAGCAAGTAGGCTATGTTGTTACTCCTGCCAACAAAGCAGTGTTCAGATGTGCACTTGCCGTGGCAAAATTTGTCAATTACGGGGGGCTGGGTTAAGCACCCATGAATGACAGAGGTTGTGTCAACCAAGTGTGTAAACAGCCTCAGTCTGTTGAAGCTGTTCCATTGTGTAGAATTAATTAAATAGCCATAGAGTGATAGACAGAACAAATAGTTCAGTGGGCAGAGCAATCATCTGAGAGGTGGGAAACCCAAGTTCAAATGCCTTCTCTATAACAGAGGGAACTGAACCCAGATTTCACATATCTCAAGATTATAAGGGAGACTTCCTTCCTACTTTCCACTCAACCCCAACCATGCCCTAAAGTGTTCTGTGGGAATGTAGGCAGCCTCTGAACATGCCTACCAAAATAAGTCCCAGAGGTGAGAATATGGGGCAATGCTGTCGAAGTATCCTACCAGGGCTTAGAAGTGATATAAGTGCTTGGGTGCCTAGACAGAAGCAGCATAACCTAAAGGACTTACTGACAGAAATCAGGTGCCTAAGAACTTTGCGTGCCTATAGAGGTAAGCAGAAACTGAGCAAGGGTTTTGAGGATCTCAGTGGGACCTTGGACACTATGTCCAACACTAAGTCTTTTTGAGGATTTAGCCTTCAGTCCCTTTCTATTGAGAAAGCTCAGCACAAAATTATAGGGTTAATTTATTAAAAAGCTCTCATTTCAAGGTATTGCTCCTTAGGGAGAGCAGATAAGTCCAATCACTTTAAGTGTTCAATTCCTCCTTGCTTGATCCACTGTAACTAAGTACATGACAATCACCTTCACTGTGTCTTGATTTCGGCTAATTATACATGACAGAATGTAGGTCGAAGGTAAAGCTCACAAAAGCTTGATACACAGAAAAATGAGACTTTGAAGGCTGCAAAACAAACAAACAAACAAACAAAAAAAGCCACATACACACACACCCAAAACAAACAAACAAACAAAAAACCCCACACACATGGAACTTAAGCCTTATTTTGGATGAGGGCTATGCTTTCCATTAGAAAAAGAATCAAATGGCCATTCGACAAAGTTCACTAGAAAGAACTGAATTGAGGAGATTCATTAGAAGACAGTCACAGGATCATTTTAGGACTTAAACACACAAAAAATTCACGAGTGCTTTGAAATATTCTGGAACCCATGTAATATTTATGTACCACAGTATAGTTACACAATTACCAGCCAATACAATTTGTTATCCTGGAAACTGATCGCCCTTAGGTTATGCCTGCCAACAGCTAGTTATGGGAACAGTAATAGACATACTGATCTGGGATAAATTCACTACTAATACACAGTTCAAGTAATAGATATGAAAAATGTCTAGGAGCTTAAAGGTGTAAGGGTTTGCCTGATTTCATCTGTATTCTTACATCTGCCATTTGGACTGGATTCCTGACTTCCAAGTATGTCAGAAATGTTTACATGCAAATAGTGCCACTTGCATTAGTACATTCAGAAGTGTAGGAATGAGGTTTAAAAATATGACACAATGTTTATCCCTGAAGAACATCAGAACAATTAAAATATTTGGGAAAATTTGACAAATTAGCAACTGTACACAAACAGGTGAACTCCTGTTCTCAGGTGAACTATCTCTTCTAGAATTATTTCCAAATTGAGATAACTGAGATAACTGATGAAAGTCACAAGTCAAAATGCTGAGATTTTTTTTCTTTTTTCTGTAACCTGATAAAACAATACAAAGAAATGAGGCAGTTTGGAAAGGATTCAAGAACCACTCCTCTTCTTGATGGGAAACTGCTGTGAAAGCAAATGAACTTTTGTTGAGAGAAACAAAGTTCTTGTTGACACTGCAGTATATAAAGCCACCATTTCATTTTATCCCACAATTTTCTGGCTATGAAATCTCCCCTAGCAATAGAGTAATCTTATCCAATCAGTGATCAGCATCTGTAAAGATCAGTGCATTGCCTTGGCTGTGAATCCCTTGAATATTTAAATCCATGGATTTCTGTAAAAGCTTTCAAAAAATCTGCACTTAAAACATGAAAAATTCAAATAATACTCAGATGATCCCTTCAAAGTTTACCCTTAACACCACATTTTTAGTGGTCAAAGTAAATTTGTATAATTGAGAAGATGATATACTTCTTTATTTAAAAGGCCCTTCCTGTATTTTACTAACTTCAGCAACAAGCTCCAAGGAAAGGCAGCATAAGTAATTTCTGTAAAAGTATAGACAGCATTACAAATAATTTGTTGGCCACTTGCAACTAAACACAGTCATATCAACACTAGATGAGAGATTTAAAAGGCATCATCTAAAATCAAACTCTCATATACTGTAATCTGCCCAAATTCTGTTTTGGGAGGTGGCATGGAGATTTCTGTGGGACTGAAATGAGACTATGGAGACTTCTGGAAAATGAAAATCACTTGACTAAAAAGCAAGTTCCCCTTCTCCTACCTCCCAATGTGCAAGTGCAGAGGCCAAAATTGCTTAAGTGAGCTTATCCTACCAAAGACAGATATAAATTTACATTATTACTCAGCGCTTCACTTTGCTTTCTTCTCCCCCAGCCCAAATTCCCACAGCATCTGCTGCTACCAATCAATCACTTTTTCATAATCTTTTGACACATCAATTCCATTGTTCCCTCCTCTTTACCAATCTCCTCATTTCCCTTTCTCTGCATTACCACCAATCTCTTCATCCCTGACAGGTTTATGCTCTGCACCCCCTCAGCTGGATCCCAAACAATTAACTGATTTTCCTTCTCAGTCCATGCATTCCCAGCTGCCGCCACCTCCTCCAAATCCCTTCACACACTGTCTCTCCCTTTCCAGTGAGAGGGAACTTGAGGGACAAGCTACTAGAAGCAAGCATTTTGTATCCCATTAATATCCTGTTCACTTTTATTCCTTACTGGTTCATTGTGTCCTTCTCCAGAATTAAGGAAACAAACATGGCTCTCTGCATCAATTGTTTTTCTCTCTTCTGGTACTACATGCTGACTTACGCAGTACAACAGCCACCATTTGCTGTTCAGTAAGTTCACCTGGATCCATGATGATGCAGAGAATAACTGAAGTGCAAGTAACCAAAGGAGAAACTCAAGATAGGAAGCTTACATTCAGGGATGATATTTGGATAGTATAACAGAGCAAAGTACCATATGTGGGAAGTAAGTATGAGGAACACTGGAGGCATGCCCTTAGAGTGACAGGGCAGGGGTGACTAAGATTGGGATGGGACCATACAGTCACAAACAAAATTTTGGTAGCAAGTGGTATAATGTAAAGTGTCTGGTTTTATACCTAAAAATTCTCTTTGATTTTAATTAGGATTTGGATTTAGCTGCCGAGCCTCTGTTGAGGAGACAGGCTGCTGCTTTTTACCCAATATAAATAAATTTATAAGCTCTCAAAAAGACAATACATTATTAACTGCAGGGATCTTAGCTAACATGTAGTTACATCACAGGACTATACCAAACAGGTGTTTATTTTTTCACCTAAATAAATTAAATCTTGTTGCTTGCAGTCCAACCGAAAAAGTTCTTAGGCATAAGGAACAAACACATTCTATCAAAAATACATTTAAAAAACCACCATATCCTACACAAGATCAGTCACCAGCCATGGAATTAATCACAATGGACAAAAATACTTTAAGTGAAAAGTGAGAGTCAACGAAAGTAAAATGAAAAATGGTTACCTCCATTTCATACATAGGTGGCCCGAGGATATCTTTTAAGGCATGAAAATCAATTAATATAGGCATTTCAGGTGGCAGAGCCAGGTCAGGTGTGTCACTGATGGATTCAGTTTTTGCATCTTCTGCAACATGCTCTCTACAGTCTAAGGAAAGAAAATCTCACTTAGGGTTTTCAATAGTATTTCTTAGCTGATAACATTCTGTATTACCACAGAGGAAAACAAACACTCAGAAGATCAAGATAATTTAAAGTAGTTTATAAACAAGCCTAAAACATTTAAGTGTTTCAAAAATATCCACTTATCAGATAAGAAAATATCCAAGACAAGATTATGTGTTCTCCAATTTTACTATCAGACTTAAACATCGGAGTTATTTTAGTGGCTCAGAAGGGATAACAGTTAACTCAGAGATGATGATGGGAGAAAAGGAGTGTTGATCTACAAATGATTTCTTAAGACTAGGTTGTTTAAAATAGTAAGACATTCAAGTAATGCATCCACAGAACAAAATGCACAAAGTTTGCTTTGGGGTTTATATTTTCCCTCAGCTCTATGCACAGTATTTGTACGGTATGAGCACAGTTAATGTACCATTATACAGAAACAGTTGTGCTGCATGTGGAAACAACATAGGTATTGTTCTGGTTTTTGCTAGTATTTTGTAAATATTATCAACGTAGCATAGTCCTGCTCTTTTTTTTTTAAATGCGGCAAATGAACTGAATATTTAATTGGCAACACTCAAAACAAGTTCTACATAAAATGAAGCAACAGTACACCTGGACTAGGCCTGAACCAGATATTGTTTTGCTATATGCCTGCAATTAGCTACTATTACCTTCCTTTGGTGTTCAATCTGGTTTAAGCAATACAGTAATACATGGGTGTAGACGACTTGGGGATTCCATTAACAATACACAAACACTGAGCATAGAACAGAAACTCATCTCATTTTAAATGTAACCACTTCCATAGTTATGGTACAAAACAACTCATTAAAATGATATTCAAACACTTTGTTTAAACCCTAGCACATCCTCTGCCCAAAGAAAGTTATTGATATCCTTACCGTCAAACAAGGACTGAAGTTTGCTAGCTCCACTTCCCTCTTCCCCCCACCTCAATCCACAGATTTCATTCCTATCCTCAAGCCGTGTGTCCCATCAATCACTGATAGCTGCCAGTTGAGGTGGCAGAGAATGAGAAGTCTGCTGCTTTCAGTATGTATAAAGAAGAAAGAGGCCTGTGCCAAATGCAGATGGGTCTCATGGTGGCTCATCAGATCCTGACATGCTGGATTTCACATGATAGGCGCTCAGAGCAATATACCAACCCAGTTCAGCAATGCATGAGCTCTCAAACAGTGCTCCCATTTCTTCAGATGATCTTAGATAGCTGCTTTTGGCTTCTTAGAACTCTACACACACAACTGACTTCCCTAGTTTACATGGTGGCTAGCTGGGCACACACTGAGCAAAACTAAAGTCAATAGGAAAAACTCCAAATGATTTCAATAAGACCATGATTTAGTGCAGCTGCTTTGTCTTGCATCGTTATCTTTGCAATGGAGTACTGTACTACTAAAATGAGTGTCTCTACCTCTTTGTTGGATGTGTTGCCTCTTTCCAAGGTGTCCCCAAAACTACCAATACCATAAGGAAACTCCTACGCAAAGATAAATATTTCTATAAAGAGCCTATCTGGCCGTGATTTATGTGTTGTTTATGTATCTTACAGGGGTATGCGATCCAACTAGCCTGACCCTTAAGCCTTTTCTACATCTAAAACTTAGATCAACCTAGTCACATTACATTGCTCAAGGCTGTGCAAGATTTCCAGACTCGGGCAGCATATTTTGGCTGAGCTAACCCTCACTGTAGATGCAGCTAGATCAAAAGAATTGTTCTGTTTCCCTAGATATCATTTCTCAAAGGGGCAGATCTATTACACCAACAGAAAAGTCCCTTCTGTGACTATACGCTGCAACAATATCACTGTTGCACTTGTGTAGAGGTTCCATTTTAAACAAAATACTTGAGGGCCACAAAAGAAGATGATCCAATAGTTTGGGTACTAGCTTGAGATTCAGGCAACCTGGCTTCAATGTCCTGCTCTATCCATAGGCTTCCTGTGTGATTTTAGGCAAGTCACTCTGTCCCTCTCTGCCTTAGTTCCACATACGTAAAACAGGGATAAGAGCACTTTTCCCTTTCTGACATGGGTGAAGACAAAGAACTGCTCAGTAATGGGGGCTTTATAAAATACCTTTAACAGATAAGCATCAAAGCTTTCTTAACCCAGACTATCTGTGAATGTATAATTATTTGCACACTTGTGACCTGAAAAAGCTATCAGTGACAACTGGCAAGAGTGCTACTAGGATATCCTGACTGTAGTATGCACATTCTGTTTCACCGAAGTATGTTCTTAGTTCCTGTATTACAGCAGCATGGAAAAACAGATTTCCTGTCAAATGGGGTATGTATTCACCTGTATCTTTACTAAGTATAAGGTGGCAAGGAAGACACACCCTTATCCTGCATTTATGAAACAAACAGGCAGCCTGTTGACATTAATGAAAGTAAGATCTCAATCAGCCTTGGCTACAAGTACTGCATAAGATATTTAGGGTCAGAGAAGCTTCTTTGAACAGGTTTAGCTTGTTTAGGCTCTAGAACGTGTTATGATTTTGTTCATAGGTAACCCTTTTGTTTCCATTATCCTTACTCATTAGCATTAGAATCTTGGGGTATGTCTACACCACCCCACTAGTTCGAACTAGCGGGGTAATGTATGCATACCAAACGTGCTAATGAAGCCCGGGATTTGAATTTCCTGGGCTTCATTAGCATAAAGCCGGCTCCGCCATTTTTAAAAGCCGGCTAGTGCGAACCCCGTGCCGCGCGGCTACAGGCGGCACGGGCTAGATAGTTCGAACTACGTAGCCATTCCGATCTATCTGTACACCTCGTTCCACGAGGCGTACAGATAGTTCGAACTACGTAGCCATTCCGATCTATCTGTACACCTCGTTCCACGAGGCGTACAGATAGTTCGAACTACGTAGTTGTTCCGAACTATCTAGCCCGTGCCGCGTGTAGCCGCGCGGCACGGGGTTCGCACTAGCCGGCTTTTAAAAATGGCGGAGCCGGCTTTATGCTAATGAAGCCCAGGAAATTCAAATCCCGGGCTTCATTAGCACGTTCGGTATGCATACATTACCCCGCTAGTTCGAACTAGCGGGGTAGTGTAGACATACCCCTTGGAGAACAAATGAATTGCTGTTTTCAATGTAACCACATCTCAGCGCCATGATAACAAGTTGCTGATCCTGAGCTGAATCTTACAAGCTTGTGTGTACAATGGTGACACAGCAGACCTGGTTATTCTGTGGCTAAGTAGTTGGATGGCACAAAGCAATGCTTCAAAAGGGTCAGTCACTGAGGTACTGTAGCCAGACAGACACCCCCCATCTCATCCATCTTATTTGCCTCTCTGAGGTTCCTGAAGCATACAGGGCAGAGAAGGAGCAATACAATCAGCATAGTCTATGCTGGCTCATCTGATCCTGAGAAGCTGAAATCATAAATATGAGGAGAGAGCAATTAAGGCAATAAGCTGACCTCGAGGCTGCGAGAACTGCCCCGGCTGGCACCCATGTTGATATGACCACATAGTCCCCTGGGAGAGGAATCTCCTACTGAGAAAAGAATCTCCAGTACTTCCAATTTAGTTCTCTCTTACAAATGTAAATTAAGTTCACAACTCCCTTGTAAGAACAGGTCTCACAAAAGACAGACCAGCACCATTTGGTATCACAGATAAGAAAGAGAAATACGTTACCCCATGGGTATAAAGATGGGTCCAGCAGCACACTCACTTTGAGTGTCAATCTACCCTCTACCTGCTGGTCGGGTTAGGTGTTTGACCTCCCAAGGTTCCATGGGGACGCCCACCTCGTATTTTCGTCTTTCCTAGGAATTGAGGGACCAGCCCTGGCCTGACACACTGGAGTCGAGAGGCACAGAAAGGGGTAAAAATTGTACCTGGATGTGGTTCTGTGTCTTAAGTGTACACATAGACTTAGAGCTCTTTAAAGATTAAGCTGTCACTTGGTACCATTATTTCTATTCTTCTATCTTTATCTTCTTTGTAACCATTTTTAAGATCTATATTTGCTAGCAGTTAAGAAATAGAGCAATAGCCATTGTAACCATATGATTTATAAGCTTCCTTAATAAACCTGTAACTGTTTAAGCTGTAACCTGACTCCTTCAGTTGCTGTAACAGAACCAAGCACAATTTAAAAGAACTTCAGCCAGTCATAAGGGACAGGTATAGGAAGAGCTTGGGCGTTTGGATTGTGTCACTCCCAGGTGACAGATCCATTGGGGCATCTCTCTCAGTCTTTCCTAGACTTCCCGCTGCAAAGGGATCCTGTATTCTATCAGCTAAAATCTGAGATGTAATAGGCTCTACCTATAGGCCCAGGGCGTCTGTCAGCCTTCTGCGACGGGACCCCGGTCCTAGCAGTAAAGTCACGGACGTTAAACCTCTTCTCAGCACACATTCCCAACTTGCCAGGTAACATCAGGGCTGGCACTGCACAGAGGAGAGTGCTAACAGACAGGAGGCATAAACAAGTCTTCCTCTACTGAAGGCAAGAGGGTTACACAGTGACTCTCAGTCTGGGTACCCAATACCTTTGACAGATAGCTCCAACTCTCTCTTAAGACTAGTTCTGCACATATAACATTTTGCATGCTGCTGCCAGCCTGAATATGCCAAATAATGTAAACAGAGCAAGGATTTTATTTGCACTCAGCCTCCATGTATGCTGGCATACAAGTGATAGGGTACTGAAGAAGAGAATGCAAATAAGGACTCACTTGCCTGCGGCATCTGATCCAGATGCAGACGAGTGATTACCATTCCCTTTAGAGCATGATGCAACATGCTGGAAATATACAGATATTTCCATGGCAGTCTTGTCGAACATTATTATTTGGGTTTTGGAGGAGCGCCTAGGTGCCCTGCGCCCTCTAATGTAGTAGGCACTGTTTGTACACAGATGCATAATGGTGATGGTGCTACCCAAAGAACTAAAAATAAATAATCTAGGAACAAGCTAATAAAATCTA